TTTTTTTTTTTTTTTTTTTTTTCGGTGGGCTTAGTTTCTGAGAGTCTTATTACAATTACAGGGAAACAGAAAGGTGTCGATCATTTCAAGTCAAAGAAATAAAACTCAGGAACAGTATTTAGGGCCGCAGCCAGAAACAAATTATGACTGAGGCAGTGTCCAAGAAATGAGTTGCGACTGAGGCAATGTCCATGGTTTAATTCTCTTCCTGGGAAATTAGGGTGTTTTTGATGACTTTAAACAGCAAAAACGAAAAAAATGACTGAGGCAAAGTGCCTCGGTTTGCCTGTTACTACGGCCCTGGTATTCCTTTAGATATTCGCAAGAAAGATTCCATTGGCTCTTTTAAATATTCTGTCAAAAGATATTTTTAGTCCAGTAATTCTTAGTCTTCGTATTGCTTTTGTCATGTCAGATTCTTTTTTCATGTACATATTTTTCCTCGATCATTTTTACGAATTTTAAGCCATAAATGTTTCAATCAGATTCTATTTTTATTCTGTACTATTGTAATACCTTGGATGTATCTTAAGTAATTTTATATTAATTTAGGATAGAGGGCCATTATACTAGTTTGTCAGTAATACTGTTATGTGCTACCCTTGAGCGTCTGAATCGTGTTGACCGCGCTTATATTTTTTAACGCCAAAACCAAATACAGTTGAGTCCTCGCACTTACTCGAGCCAAAATCGAATTCCTCTGGATTGTCGTTTAAGATTTACTGTAATTTTATAACCTCAGTAACTCGAACCCTCGATAACACGAACATTTTCTGTATAATTTTGCCACGGCTCGAAAACTCGAGCCATGTTTGCCAATACGTGACAACTTAAAACAATCAGTACTGTAGTCCTAATTATAATAAATAAAAAATATAAAAAATACAAAAAATATAAAAAATTCATGTCTCCGGAACGTTAACATGCGTTTCTGCACAAGTTAACATGAAGTTACGTTTGCTAAAACGCTTATTTCGTTTAACTGAAACCTGACGGAAACATATGGTACGTTCCACTGTGACCGCAGCAACGGAAAGACGAGTAAACAAACCGACAGCCGAAACGCATGTTAACCGTCCGTTTCCGCAACGGTTTCACATGTTTCTGCCACGTCTCCGCTTACGGATTCTTGATATTTCGTCCTGTCTGCTTACTAAAATTACAAGTTTTTGCTAGATACTAGCCTGAAATGGCTGTCATGCATTTCGGGCTAGCTAGATACCGACAAAACGGTAATCACATATGGTGAAATAAAAAAATTCTAAATCTATCGAAACTTCGATAAAAGACATATTTATTACGAAGTCAGAAATTATACTCTTCATGTTCAACAACGACAGTAAACACCAGTTGAGCTTCTAGTATTTATTACAAGAAGCTTTATTTTTGTAAAAATATACGAACAACACAGAGTGTAGTAGTTCGTTCGAATAGCGATCTCCGATTAAGTGAACTGCGACAATTACAACGCTCCTCTGACGAGTGATCACTCGAAAGCTTGCTCTAATATATGTTCTCTCCTCGGAGTAAAACCAGTGGGAGCAATTTAGTCTTTCCAACTCCTTTCAATTTCAACTCAGCATTTTCGTCCGCAACATTTAAGATCTGTTTCGTAATTTTCATAGGAAAAGCGCACGCTTTCACGAGCAACAATGCGACCAGATTACACTTCACAAGACACTTTTAGCTACTTTTCGATCCTTATCTTAAAATTAAGCTAAAAAGTGAACTTTGAAGTGACCGATCTTTTAGTAGCGGAAAGCTGAGCTTATACGTCAAGTTTGTGATTGACAGCTGTTGTCTCATCAGCCAAACAAATTGCACGCTAACGCCACTTTTCCTCGATTGGAAAATAAATTTTGGTTTTAAAATATTAGTTGAATGTGCGGGGAAATGAATGGGTTCTTTATCATAGAGCAAGATAAAGAAGCCTCGACTGTGCTCTGTTCAGTACGTACGTACCGCTTTTAGCGTGCTTTACAACAGCACAGCAGAGGCGAGACATGTTTAACAAGAATACACTTCCATGATTTCTTGTGCGAAAACTGTGATTTTTCGAGCCGAAGACGAACCGAAACAACATATTTACTTTTATTGTTTTTGAAAGCGATCAGGAAACCTACGAAAAATCATGGCGATCTGTAAAACTTCCACGGCTAGCCTGCAAGAGTCAGGGCCTAAGCCAGAAAAATATTATGAGTGAGGAAATATCCATGGTTAAATTATCTCCCTTGGTAGTTAGTAGTGTGCTACTTTCTCCCTTCAAAAGAAAAAAACAACAACCGACAAAAACGAAAACAAATGGCTGAGGCAAGTACCTCAGTCGGTTTGCCTCATAATACTAGAGGTGTAAAGTATGATTGACTTTTGATATAATGCATTAAATATTCATTGACGTGACTAAATTCTGTAGTAATCTTTGTTTTTGGGCATTAGTCCATTTGACACCGTACCTGTGAGTCTGGCATCCGAGAACATGGGGATTTTATAGTATGCTAACATTAACTCGGGAAAATCCTCAACTAGAAGACCAAACTAGAATACTTAGATACTCTCGAAGAAGTTGAAAGAAAAATTTCCCTTCAAAATTTGTGAAACTTTTTAAAGACTGTCAGCTTTGAGATTCAGTCAAATGCTTCAAGAGATGTAGCCACTTCGAACAAAAAATTTAAAAAAACCCAAAATATTTCGACAGACAAATGTCGGCCATTTCGGCTTCACAGAAAGAATAGAGAGGAGAATTCGAATTTAAGAAGGGGGCTAGGTATGTTCTTAATATTTTAGTCAATCTAAATGCATGAACAGTTCTACCAAATGTAAAGAAACGGTAAACAGTATTTCATCTAGCAGACAAACAAAAGGCTACTAATTCCCATCTTTGTTGAAGTAAATAGAGGTGGGGGATGGTCGGCAATTTTGAAACTATAGATAAACTTTCGCCTTCTCAATATTAAAATGTACACACCGTTCAATAGAGCATTTCTTTTCATTCGCACTATAGTTACGAGTGATATCAATTTATGCCTCCGAACCTTAAGAATTCGTTTTCGGAGAATCCAGTTGAAATGAGAATTTGACGCTTATCTTCTATAAACAACATGCATGCTTTCTTCAGTCAGTAGAGACCTTAAGCAACCCCGAGGACACCGCCTAGGACAAAATGAATTTATATTCTATCTTCGAATTTCGCAATTGTCTAAATCTGTTCAGTGCGCCTATTGGTCTCAGAACTTGGTCAAGCTAAATATGTAGCACCAGCGTTCAATTTCAAATGAAAATACCAAAAAACAAATTCATATTTTACCCTCGAATTTCACAATTGTCTAGATCTGTTCAGTGCGCCTTCTGGTCTCAGAACTTGCTCAAGCTGAACATGTAACGCCAGCGTTCAATTCCAAATGAAATACGAAAAATTAGCCGCCGTCGTTCGCATTGTCCAAAATACACAGTTAGTCATTTTACGGTGTTGTTTTGCAGAGGACGGCTAAGAAATGTACAAAGACTTATAACACACGTGCATAGCTATTGTTCTGCTCATTAAACCTTTTGTTTGGCGACGTGCTTAAGCTCTCTGGTAAAGATTCAGGATTTAATTTACATACCTTTGTTGTTATTAAGGGAATCGTCTCGCACAGTTCTCGTTCTGTTCCAATACCTGAAAAACAGAATTCGAGGAAAGATATTAATTTCAAATGATATCTATATGTGTGTGTAACATGAGCAGCCGAATATCATCACCTTTGTTCAGTTCGCCAGAGTCTTTATCCAGAAGTCTGACGATATGTACCAGGCGAAACCGCAGCAAAATTTGACGAGAAGGCGGTCTACGGAGGCTATTTATAGACGTTAAATGATACTTCTGCCGGATTCTTGTTACCTCGGCTTCCCCCGAGTTGAAACGTGACTTTACCGTGAGCCGGGTCACGTAAAGAGCCATCCTTATTTTCAACCACATGAACAATTCCTTACACCTTCCTGAAACTGAGATTGCTCACAATGTACCTTATCAATGAACAAAATCATTAAATTTGATCGTTAAAGAGGAAGGTTGTAAATATTCATTTAGCTAGCATACACGTATCAGTTTTGCTCTTAACCGGTTCTGCTCACGTAAGTCTCCCACGTGCACCATCAATAGCTGAAGCAAGCTTCAGTCCACTTTGAGTCTTGGTGGGCGGAATGACGGGTTGGCAGAGACGACTTCCCACAACCCTAAATGGTAAAATCTGAGTGCGATTTTGCGATGACTCGAGTTCCTTGACCTACCAAAGCAACGATTGTGCTAAGTGTGCATCTACAATGTTGTTTTACCTCAGCGGGC